TATCGGATTTTGTTGTTTGTTAACTACTCTTTAAGTAATAGACATTTTTCAAAAATTTTTTTTTGTTATGTGGTACACCCTTTCTTGACATATGGTACAAATTTGAGCGCCATCTGTCAATTAGTTTGTTTACAGCCGCAGTTAATGTGAGACTACCTCAAGTGCATTTAGCGATTTTTACTATAGAAAATTCTTGTTGTACGCGATTTTTTGACCACACACGGCACCACTGTCATTGCTCAGGCACCATATTCGCCAGATCTGGATCCGTGCGACTTTTTCCTGTTCCCAAAACTCAAATTGGCCCTTCGTGGTAAACGTTTTGAGTCGATTGAATCGGTAAAAGAGAATTCGCTGAAGGAACTAAAAGCTATACTTGCATGGGCCTACGAAAAGTATATGGAAGATTGGGTTAAGCGTTGGCAGAAGGAGCATATTTTGAAGGAGATAAAATAAATTTGGAATAAAATTTAAATTTGTGTGTTTTATTTACAAAATCCGAGTACTGTTTGAGCTGGAGGTATATATCATTGAGATCTGAAACAATTGTACATTTTAGTTGTCACCATAAGACTGTCCTCACCAGTGAATTTAAATAAACATTACAGTATCGTAGTGTACAGTACTAATCATGTTCGAAAAAATTTTTAGTGTTTGTGTTTATGAGCACAAACACAAACAATACACTAAAAGTAAAAGCGTCATCTTGGAAATATTAGGTCTGTTCCACGAGCTACTCATAGTAACTTTGAGTAAACACTGTGTATACACAAGCGCGTTCCATCAGTAAATTTTCATGTATTTTTGTGTAAATTTTACTTCTGTTTTACTCATGTGTTACTATGAGTAGCTCGTGAAACAGACCTATTAAAATAGTGTACTGTTTCCAACATCTCATGTGCTCAGTTATTTTTTTTTTTTTGATAAAGGTATTGAACTTAAAGCTTAAAATACGTGTGAAAATATACAAGTCGTTACTTAAGTATTTGAATTTCAATTCGAAGAAACAATAAAAAAATTACTATGAAATTTATTTTGAAACAATAATTGATATTCAAATATTTTATTAATAGTACTTGAATTTTCCATTGCAACAATAGATGTAATAAGAGCTTATTTATCAAGTGATAAATAAAAATATATTTATTGCGCTATTGCAAGATAAAACTAATTGCTTCTCCTGGACATAAACCACATTAACAATAATATTAGTACTAAATTTCATCGCACCAAATGGTTTCGAACTAAATCATACAATACATATGGATTTGTTTTTGTTTTCCATTGAATTGCTTTTGGCGCTATCTTATCTATTGTGAATGTAGAATTTTTGCATTTGCGTAAAAACAACAAATAAGTTCAGTTGTGAATTGTAAATGGAGGCGATTGGTTGTGGTTGAGCGTGAGAACAGGCAAAGGAAGATTTAGAATTTTAAGTGCTTCTATTGTTTTATATTTTGTTGTTTGTGTTTATCGTATTTGAGAAAAAAGAAACAAACAAAATAAAAGAAAAATTGAATTAATTTTAAATAACAGCAAACTAAAAAAAAAAATCGGGTTTTGACCATTTTCGTCAATGATTGTTGTTGTTATCATTAATACGAGGCAATCACATTATTGGTGATTTATAAATAAATAAAAATAACAAAAAGTGAAAAAAGTAGGAAAATATAATAATTCTTATATATAGATACGTATATATGCATATATATTTTGTGCTGCAGAAAGAAATGTGCTTAATTTGGTGAAAACAAGTGTTTAGTAATTTGTATTTATTAAGTAAGGACATACAACAACAACAACAACAACAACAACTACTACTACTACTACTTCTGCTGCTGCAACACCAAAAAAAAAACTATTCCGGCGTGTCTGGTACGCATACAAACATTTCGATTGAAATATAAAATTGAAAGAGCAAATAAAAAATCATGACAGACGAATGCATCTCAAGAACATGCATAACGCAAAATGCAAACGGTGGCGATAGCATAGATGCAAGAGGCACCGAGGGAACAGGTAAAGGCAATGTTAGTGGTAGCAACAACAATAAAGGGTAAGTTACTGTGTGGTTGTGCTATGTACTGTGTTGTGTTTATATTCGAAAAAAGAAGGAACAGAACAAAAAATCCTTGATTATTAGTTTGAAGGCTTAAAGTCGTCTTCGTTGTTGTTGTTTTTTTTTATAATAAATTTCTTTTATTGTTAACATGTGTTTATATATTTAAACTATGAATTATATTAATTATATTTTAATTTAGGAAATATTTTAGAAACCAGTTGCTTAATTGTTTGTGGTTTATTTTGCTATTTTTGTGTTTAATAATTGTTGTTAGTAATAATGAAGCTATTTAAAAAATTAATAGTTTATTTTTATAATTATTATTCATCCATTATTTATTTAATTTTTTTTTTTTGATTAATTATTTTTTAGTAAATAATTTTTTTTACCTGTTTTGAATTAATTATTTCTTATTGATAAATTTTTTGTTTTCTTTTCAAAAATGAATACTCGTTTGTTTTGAAAACTATTTGTTACGAATTGGTATTTGAAACAACTAGTAGAGTATAGAAAGAACCAAACGCGAAAAACAAGTGGCCAAAAATATTGACCATGAAATTTGTTTGTGGAGTGGGTATCACAACCATATTGTGAACATATGACGTATTTCTTCTTTTTTTTATATATTTGTCCTTTTTCTAAAGTTTTGGACATCAGATGTTCTGTCGATCATCAAATGTTTTTTTAATTTTATTTTTATTTATTTATTTTATTTTTATGTATTTCTTTTATTTTATTTTTATGTATTTCTTTTATTTTATTTTTATATTTATTTTATTTTTATGTATTTCTTTTATTTTATTTTTATATTTATTTTAATTTTATTTATTTAATTTATTTTTATTTATTTAATTTATTTTTATTTATTTAATTCATTTTTATTTATTTAATTTATTTTTTTTATTTTTATTTATTTAATTTATTTTTATTTATTTATTTATTTTATTTTTATGTATTTCTTTTATTTTATTTTTATTCATTTACTTTATTTTATTTTATTTATTTATTTTATTTTATTATTTTTTATATATTTTATTTTTATTTATTTTTTTCTATTTTTGATTTTAATTACTTTAATTCTTTGACACAAAAGTCTAAGGTGAACCTTTATGAGGATCTGCCTTCATATCGTTATAAATATACTGATAATGCGTACCAATAAATGATATTAAGAATTATATCTTAAAATATTAACAATTATAACTTTAAGCAATACTATATTTATTTTCGATTTTCTATTTTTGATTTTAATGACCTTTAATTTAGTTTAATTACTTTATTTTTCTTCTTTGGCACAAAAGTCCAGTGTGAATTTCTATGAGAACCTGCCTCTATTTCGTTATAGATATATGTTTGCCAGTAAAACATATTAAGAATTATAGCTTGGTTTTAATGACGACCGGTTCTACATTTCCCGCAGTTACTAGTCGACAATCAAATTCAACATTCCCAATAGCCAGCCACTACATCAGTAGATCTTCAATGGTTACAACAATAATATGAAGAAGAATTATAGCTTCGTTCTTATAAATAATATTTTTGCATATTTTATTTTTATTTGTTATAAATAAATAAATTTGTTTAAAAATATTTTACTAATTTCTGCACGGTCTCATTCTGCACGGTCTCATGATTGTTATCAATTAAAATTCCAATAATTCTTATTTATTGCGGAAAAAACTGATTGTTATCGATTAAAAATTCAAAATACTTTTCAAATTTCTTGCCAATCCTCTTCCAATAAGTTTTATTAATTATGGCATAAATTGATTGTTATGGATTAAAAATAGTTTTCGAATATATTGGAATATATATTGAAAATATATTCCACTAACTTTATTTCAATGTGGCAAAAATTGATTGTTATGGATTAAAAATAGTTTTCGAATATATTGGCCCATCAATTCCACTAACTTTTTACAATGCGGCAAAAATTGATTGTGATTAAAACTTCTTCTTCAAATTTTGTGTCGGTCCTATTCCAACAACTGTTTGTGACAAAAATTAAAACAGATTTTAATTGAAATGCATCAAAAACTTTAGGATATATCATTTAAATTTCATTAGACAGGGTATTCAGAACTAGATTATTGGCAACGTTAGCGTTAATCGGGAAATCCCGAGACAGAGCGGAACCACTGACTCATCATTGCATACAAAGTATATAAATTTTTAAATTTTATGCTAAGTACTTTATTAGAGCTTCAAAATTCTCTGTGATATATAATTTAGAACTTTTTATGAAAATACTTTCACTGTTGGATCGCTAATTAAAATATATTGCAATTAATTTTGAATTTTAATATTACGCTAATAGAGTTTTTTTTTTTAAAACTTAGATTTATCAAAATATACAAACTTTTGCATCAATTTAGACTTTATTCCAACCTCAATATAATTTAATCAAATTTTTGTATAAAATTATTTTAATTTTTTCATTAAAAATCATATAATGATTATAAATATATTTTTTAATCGCTTATTAATATTTTAATAATTTATATAATATTTTAATTCAATTGATTGTTAGCATTTTTAAGTGCATTTTAAAATTATAATTTAAAATTTTTAATTTTATCTCAACATGCAAAACTTTAGGCACTACCCTCGTATTGATTTACTTAAAGGCAACATTAGGGAATGGTTCTGCAGAAATTATTTTAGTTAATATACGTTTTTCATGTTCTTTTCTTCACTTCTTTCTCTTCTTATCAAAAATGAAGCAAATTCATTATAGTTTCTTAGTACGCAATTCCAGAGTTTTTTGTTTTGTGTACTTCTTTTTACACAGCAAAAACTTTCTTTATTTATTTTTCTTTTATTATTCATTTTATTTATTTTAGCTTTTTTTTTATTGTAAAAAATAATGTTAATTTTTTGTTTTTTTTTTTTTGGTGCACGTTATTCTTCAGAAATGCTAAAGCAACAAAACATTATGGATTTACTGCTTTTATGCCGACGGAACGTTATGCGGTGGAGTACAATATGAATCATAGGAACCGCGGTCAGGCTCTCATTTTCAATCATGAACATTTCGACATACCAAATCTGAAATCTCGTGCTGGCACAAATGTGGATTGCGACAATTTGCGTGAAGCTTTGGAATATTTGGATTTTGATGTATTAGTTTATAAGGACTGCAAACTTAATAATATATTCCACTACATTGATAAAGGTACATTTTCTTTGACTTATCATTTAAAACGACGTTTTACTCTATATACATACGTATATGTAATATTTCTAATTTATCTTATACTAGCTGCCTCAATGGATCATACAGATAATGATTGTATACTGATTGCTATCATGTCACACGGTGAGATGGGCTATATCTATGCTAAGGACGCACAGTACAAATTAGACTCTATTTCCCATTACTTTACCGCACAGAATTGTGCTACTTTGGCTGGTAAACCAAAGATATTTTTAATACAAGCTTGCCAAGGTGATCGTTTGGATGCTGGTGTTATGCTTCGCAAGACTGAAACAGATAGTGCATCAGGTGGAATGGACTATAAAATTCCTCTACATGCCGATTATCTATTTGCCTTCTCAACCATACCAGGTAAATGATATGTTTCTTTAATATTCTTTAAAAAAGCGTAAAAGTACAGTACATCAAGTGTACATAATTATTAAAATAAGTAAGTGCTAGTTAACTGCACTAATTATTTAAAATAATAGGAAAAACATTTCTGTAAAACGCGCACTGCAAAAACATTTTCAAGCTAAAAAATTAAATGCTTATTTGTGTATAAGTTAGGTTAGTTTAATCTCGCTAGCTGTGAACCTCCATATATAAGACTTATTGATCTCAAGCGATACTAGATAGAATAAAACCTCTATGCACATTTTTTTTTTGTAATAGGCATTTTGTGAATTTAAAATAATGCCTATAACTATATTCCTAAAACATAGACAGAGCAAGAATTTCATTAAATATTTTTTTGAAATAGTGCTTTGAGGTCACAGCTTAATGAAATCTGAAATCAGATACTACTTTGGACTAGCCAAATTAAAGTGGCTAGGTTTCTCCACATTAATTCTGTTTGACTTCAATTTAAATCTCATCAAACCCCAACCCATCCTAAACAATCGCTTTCCTTCTCACATTGTCATCACCGATCCACATCCTAACCTATATACACATACATTCTTGTAATTTCTTTCAAGTTATCTGCTTAATAGATCTTTACGGACTACAACAAAAATTGAGACGGTGTATTTCGTAGTACTATTACACACGGATCATGATTTTAGAACAATATTTTGTCAACACAAGCAGATTCTTGCAGACTATAACAACAATTACAATAGTTGAGGAAGATCTACCGCCACTAATATCAACTAACCACTTATTTTTGATGGATCTTAAGTTGATTAAGGCCCTTATTATTGGGCTCAATTTTTTTAATTAGCTAGTACAGAGTTTTTATTTAATAAAAGAAAAGAAATTGCAGATCTTTTAATTCTTAGAATAAAATATATTTTAAATGAAATGAAAAATAAGAACCTCTTTTGAATTAGAAGTGAGAGAGAGTTCTGTCGCCAGTAAAACTAAGTAACTATCAATAGAAATTAATGTATAGATATATTGGGGAAAATGTTCTATAAAATTGTACGAGAAGTTAGAAAGATAAATGGAATCAAGTTATTTATATTATAATATAATGTTATATATTATAATATAATGTTATATATTATAATATATTATAATATAATGTTATATATTATAATATATTATAATATAATGTTATATATTATAATATATTATAATATAATGTTATATATTATAATATATTATAATATAATGTTATATATTATAATATATTATAATATAATGTTATATATTATAATATATTATAATATACTTTTACTTTTTGATAGCTGGGGGTACTACAGGGTCCACCCATCTCATTGACTAATTTATGTATTGCCTATAAGCTTCATGATTATTCAGTGATTGATATAAGATCTGCGTACCTCCCCATGCGGAGAGTGATTACTCTAAGATTAGATAGTGGTAAGTAGGATAGCCTGTCAATTTTCGCATATAACTTCAGGGCTCTGTCCCTTATGTATTTTTTAATCGGGTCTATTCTATTTATGTTTTATACTATAATATAATGTTATATATAAAAATATTGAGAAAAATTATGTTTAAAATGTAATAGTTTTGATTCGTAAAATTATTGATTATACATTGCATAGTTAACAGTTTATTGCTAGTGAATTTATTGTTCTCAATATGGAATTTCCATATCATTGAGTCATAAAATTTTTAATTCCAACAAAGTATATTTTTAGCTATTAATTATTGTTAATTTTCACAAAATTAAAAAACAAGTTTAGAAGCTTTACTATTTCTCATTGTAAAATCTAGTGTCAATGAAGTGGAAGTTACTCATAACTACTACTAGAACTAACTTAATCTAAAAATACAATCAACTCTCCAAACTAACAAAGACTAACTGCTGCACTTACATATATATATATATATATATTTACGAATAATGCAAATAATAATTAAATTATATATTTGTAGGTTTCTATTCGTGGCGTAATACCACAAACGGTTCATGGTTCATGCAATCCCTGGTAAAGGAAATCAAGGAGAATGGTAAAAAGCTGGACATGTTAACATTACTGACATTCGTAAATCAGCGTGTGGCTGTTGACTTTGAGTCGTGTGTGCCGGACAGTCCCATAATGCACCAACAGAAGCAAATCCCCTGCGTCACAACCATGTTAACGCGCATATTGCGTTTTTCAGACAAAAAATAGTTAAAGAGTACTTAACTTAAATTTTAGTAATTAAAGCAGTTTAGATAAAAAAAAAACAAAAAATAAAAACAAATTATATAAGTATATCAACAACACAAAATTCATAATAATCTATAATATGACTAATAATATTGATTAAAAACTGAAGTAGACTATATATATATATATAAATTTTATTGATAAGAGCACTTATTTTTTTATCAATGTAAATCTAAAGTAAATTCATGAAATTTATAGATATTTTTTGTTATTTAAAAATGAAGTTATTTTTGTACGAAATGTAACAATTGTACAAAGAGCACTTATAATTAATTAATCATTATTATAGTAATATATTATATGCAATTGTTATTATTATTTTTCTCAATTTTTAGTCATTTCTAAAACGTTCAATTTGCATTAAAAATTTTGGTATTATAATTTGATAAAAAAAAAAAAATCATATATATGTATATATATATATAATATATACTTATATATATATAAGTATATATATTATATTGTTTTGATAAGGTGAATATTTCAACTGAATTGTTTGTATTTTGGCAAAATAATAATTTATTTGCTTCCTCAATTATATTTAAAATATTAAAAAACACAAGACTTAAGAAGAACTAATACACATTGCCATATTAAAGTGTATTTAAAAATATTTCATAACATTAATTTAAATATCAACAATGAGAATGTGAATTCAAATAAAAGTACAATTTTTCAAATCAATTAATTTTTATCAAATTTTTTATCAAATCTTATCTGTAAATGAAACTCTACTCAAGTACTGCAAAAGAAAAAAATTATAAACTTTAATCCCACCGAACTATATTTTTCTCTGAAAACTGTGCTATTAAACGTGACCAAATTAATTATATATTTTTTTTGTTTTGTTTGTTATAAAATATTATATCAAGTTTATTGCAAACAATAACGAAAATCGATAGGTGTTAAGTAGAATAAACACTTAGTAACAAAGCAGAGATATGAGAAAGGTTTATTGAACTATATATATTATTCATATATTTGTATTATAATTTTAATTGAATATAGACTATTCACTACTGTTCGAAAAACATCTTTAATATAGATATTAATAATAGTTTCTATTCAGTAAGTAGTAAGTAGTTTCGACATAACTAGGTTAGGTTAAGTTATACCGGCGATCCCTAAGGGATCCATTGGCTCATTATAAAACCTCATTATGAACCGAACATATAAAAATAAGTGAGGTTTTAAATTGACTCATTATAAATCCTCATTATAAACCGTACATATAAGTGAGGTTTTAAAACCACCTAGAACTTTTGGCGAATCCTAAAATGCTATATAATGTCAGTTCTTGTAATTGGTCAAGATCCTCAAGAAAGGAAGTTCCTTAAGTGTTAATTCGTTGCCGTGCATGAGCTGGGCAAAAACATAGTAGATGAGAGCCACTCGTATCCTCTACCCCACAGCTGCGTTAGGCTTGATAGAAAGGGAGATTTAATCTTCTAGCATAGTTCTTTAATTTTCAGTGATCTGTAAGTAAACCTAAAACCCATATCTCTACGAGGCAACTCAATGAGAATAACTAAGTTTAAAATCAAATTTAAAATAGAACTATAATGAAAATATGTACCCGATTATTAATGGGCTCAGATCGTTGATTTAACACATAAAATTATAAAAAATGTCGTATACAATATTTAATGGAAGAGAAAGTGATGGGTCTAACATATGCCAGCAGGTATATGTTGATATAAGAACAAATAAACTTCAACTAAGAGTAGATCAACTGCCAATGATCAAAAGACAGCATAAGTGACCCATTGCTCTATAATGAAACACACTCGAAATTTTAAAGAAATAGATATCATCATCAAAGGGCCAAATTAAAGACGTAGACTAATGCTGGATGTGTTACACATAATTGATATTCCGGACAATCAGAGACTTAATTACAAAGTAAGCACAGAGGGTCTTGCACAAATCTAAAGGTGATAAACTAGATACTATCAAAAATTAAATTTTTTCGCAAAAATACCTCGGGAACTCACTACAACGTCGAACTTTAACAACTGTTTAAGAGTGATTGTTTTGTAAAAAAAAACCTATCACATAAGACCGGATAAGCTCTTATGTAGGGCCAAATAAATTGGTCAAGCTGAATAAAAGTACACTTTATAATGGTATTTTAAAGCAAAATAATATATTATCATGTTTGGGATCAAGGAACGCTTGAAGTTGTCAGAGCAAACTTAAGAATTAATAATATTCGAAGCTACGACATTTATATCATTGTAAAGTATATTTTACAGAAACTTTTCTAAAGGAAGTTTGAACCATACCGAATTTTTATACATGAGAATGATGACAACATCTAAAACTAAATACAAGTGACCATTACAGGAAGTAAATCTTGTGTTAAAATAAATCTATGTTAATTTCTAGGACTTAAGAAGCACGAAGTAGTAGCAAAAGAAGATCTACTTTCAAATTTCGTCTTTATCTCATTAATTGATCAACATCAATTGATTATAGTCCCAATATTGATATAAATTTAAGTAATAGACTTCAATGGCTCCTTGATAAACCATGCCTTGGGTGTAACAAGTAGGTTGCGGAAACACCAATTGCACTTTATGTATGAGACGCTTAAGTAGTAGAGACGGTAGAAAAAACCCGGACAAAGGATTACTAACGCCATCTAAGTAAGTAATTAAATATATGCCGGTACAAATTTATTGTAATTTAACAATTTCATCCTGTAATGGTCAAAATGCTGTTAGTAATTATATAATAAATTTTGAAGAGATGATTATAGATACTCTCAGTATAACATCCTCCAAGGAATATGAAATAATTAACAGTAGCAAAAAGATCAACAATTTTTTGCAGAAGGTAGTGGAACCTTCTAATGAATAAAGTCAACGTATAAGCCGTTGTACTGCTGCTGACAAAATGGACCACTTATATATTGCTGTGTATGGGGTTCAGTTTCAAAATGGTTTGCCTGGGAATATAGATAGAATAGTTACCAATAATATATATATAATATTAGAAAAATTAGAAGACAATAAATATTTAAGACATACGACACTTACATAGAATTTGAAAATACCCAGAATTAAGAAGTAGAACAACGTCCAAATATTTTGGTGAATAAAAGCATTTATATGGGATGTCAGAACAAGAATACCAATTCCATATATATTGACTTTTTGAACTTTTAGCGTTATTCATTCACTACTGAAACCATATTTCTAAATGACATACACATTACCATGCATCCTGAAGAAACTACTATAACAAAAAGCGTTTATTTTCAAACTATGTATAAAATATATAATTAATTTATAAAACTTTGTTCACGCAATGGCGACATACGTCATTTGGTCAATAAACGATGAGGACGCCTTTCGCCGCATATGAAGTCTTAAAAATTGCAAAAACAAAAACGTCAAATCAACAAAGCAATTGACGGCTGTTAAAAAAGCTGCAAGTCTTGTTTTTCTTTTTGTAAAAATTAAAAATTTATACATTCTCAACAAATATTTAGTTTAATGTCAAATTTGAGGAACTTTTGTTCATTCCAAAACAATTTTTGGCGGGAACGTTTTAGCCACAAACCATTTTAGCAAATTCATCTTTAGCATGTCCACAAATTATTGCACATATTTTGATATTTGAATTTATTATTTTCACAAATGTTTTATTATTGTTTTGTTTTTCCTTAATAATTATTACTTAACGTTTTACTTACTTCTATGGATGCACAGGCCATCGCTTGAACGGTAAGCGGCGCCGAAGAAATCTTATGTCGCTCGAAAATATTTTCCAGTTTCTCAATTTGTTGAGTTAGGCAAAAACGACAAATATCTTTGGTTTTTAAATTATTTTCACGTTCAGACATATTTGCACTCATTTTGATAAAATATCAATTACTAGTTATTTTTTAGAACTTTCGAATATTAAATTTTAAACAATAATATTTAGCAATTTGCACTTTCTTTGCGACAATAATAATAGCGTATATTCGAGTATGGATGTTGGCTTGGGTGAGACATTCGACAATAGATTTTCACGTTCGAATTTAATTTCGAAATTAGTAAATTATTTAGGTAATGTGAATGATTTCGATTGCTGTCAAAACTAAATGCACTATTGTGAATTGATTTTATTTTATTGTGGAATAAAATCTACATGTAATTTGTATTTTATATTTATTCAAAATTTTATAATAAAAATTAATAATTATATATATTTATTTAAATAATTGCACATAGTGTTATATACAATTAAATATATTATCTATGCATCAGTGCTATAAACTTAATGCAATTTAATATATATATACACGAAGTATAAAAAAAAATAATAGTAATTTGACAATATTCGAAACAGCCAAAAATTCAATTATTTAAAATAAATTAAAAAGAATTTTTCTTGTAGTTCAGTTACTTTTCGAAATCTCTCTACTAAAAATAAAAATGTAAAATATCACATATGAAACTTTTAAATGCGTTTACATTGGCTAGATTTTGGCAAGTTTTTTGCACACATTCGCACTTATTAAATAACGAATTCATTTTCTTTTTTCAGATAAAATCCAAAAACTATACATATTTACATTCAAACATTAAAACCGTATCAACGTTTAGCAAGTGTAGACACCAAGTAAAACTACACAAAATCAAGCAGCTTACAACAGCTGATTGTGCACGACATACAAAAGGTTTAAGAGATTATTTAAATTAAATCAATTGCACAGTTGATTAAACTGTTGATAATTGGGATGAGGAAACTGTATAGTTAAATTGATGATGTATAAAAATGTCATAATAAATATAATAATATTGTCAAAATGGCACTCACGAATGCATCTACACTGTCTAGTGTTTGGCAAGTTTTTTGCAAAGATTCTCACTTTTTCAGTAATGCAAACAAATTTTTGTTTGCAGATGAAATTCGAAAATTACACAAATACGCATTCGAACATAAAGATGGTATCAAAATCTAGCCAGTGTAGATATCAAGTAAAGCTACTTAAAATCGGGAACAGCTGTTTAAACTGTTGATATTTGGAATTTCCGGTTTATATAATTTATTTTAAGTGTGATGACTTTATTGTTTTCTTTAGTAATATTTACTCCAAAATAGAAGACGTAATTGAATATACTTATTTATTTTAATAATTAAATTTAATTAATTAATATCTTTCCTATATCTTTCGGTATTTTTTCTATTTACATTAAGGCCGTGTGAGAGTTCAAGTAAATTGATGATAAATTGAGGGAAATAATAAAGCCGCTAATGAAAATAATTTATAATTCAAAGAGTTTTCATGTAAATGAGCTCATTATAAATAAATCAACTCTTAAAAATAAGTTTCGCACAAGAGAAATTACCAAAATTTGAAATATTTGTCATATATTTTATATCAAAAATGTAAACAAACAAGCTATTTTACATACATAAATCAGCATATGCCAATGGAAACGACCAAATGTTAATTACATTGGCTTTAGTAGTTTTAACTACAGTGGAAACATGTTATTGGAAAGAAATTAACATGTCTCGATTTTCTATTTCCGTTACTAATCAATTTACGCTATTATTTTTACTAATATTTTCTCTATTTTTTACTCTTAATTCTTTGCTGGTACATATATTTCCGAAGACTTGTGAATATGTTATAGTAACGCCTTGAAGTAAATTATTTATTCTGCACTACTATTTATTGACTGATATAGAAACGTTGTCTTGGAACGAATTCGAACATTGCATTGGAGGAAGTAATTTTTTTGGATACATGCCATACATGGAAAACGATCCAATGCTTCTAAAATCAAAGCTTTCATAACTAGTCCTTCAGTGACAAATACTTTCATAATCATATACATTTCATCTTTATACCTACATGTAAATATGTATATTTATGTAGGATATTGCTAATAAAATGAAGTGTGAGAGGGTAGGATCTAAAGATCAATTGATTTGTGCATTAGGACATGTTGGAGGTACATCATGGGAAGTAATAAATCTGCAGTAGAGAATTCAAGCTTTTATGCATGATAAGACAAGTAACTGTTTAGCATATGGCTTTATCCTGATCTCAATTGAGCTAGGACAGTTCTTGATGCACGGGGAAGACGTCGTGATACTAGATTCGTCGAGACCAATCATGCACCACCACATCTAGTTTATGTGTTATTATTATTAATAGATCAAAGCATACATACTTCTTTAGAGATAAGATTTCTTCTACACTAGATGAATAGGGGTTTTCGATTTCTTGTTCGAATTTTTTGATTTCTAATTAGAATTAAGGAAGTTAGGATTTTCTACACTCTTATTTAGTTTGTAAACTTGAAGAGCTACTGGAGCAACAGTGGGTATAGATATATATAAAAACCATAACATTAGGTCAAACCATATAAAATCATATCTGCAGACTTAAATTCTAAATTATCAAATAAAATTGATATTTGGTACTACTGATGCTATTTTTTTTTTGTTCTTGATGAGCAAAACTTGTTTGTGTTATTAATTTTTGCTTGTTGATGTGTATTGCTTCACATATTGCTTGCAGCGCATAATTAAAATAATTTTCTAAGCACCGCGTATCGCTATTTAAGATTAGTTCTTGTTGATTTGGTTGTTTACTTTTATTTCTGATGAATCAGATTGACTAATGGATTTAGCTAAGTGGGCAAATTAAGCCATTGTTTCGCGCAATATATTTTCTCCGACTTCACACAAACTGGAAAATCTTTACTTGCGTTAGTTTCAGTCTGTCGATTCAATATGTTGTATATATTATCAGCAATTGCAACTTGCGCTGTTTCAAACAGACAACTGAATGGCGCTTTAAAGCTTCTAACGCTCCAGGCGATTTAGAGCACAATTTCGTGCCGATCCAAGCACACAACTGAATGGCGTTTTAAAGCTTCTAACGCTCCAGGCGATTTACAGCACAATTTTGTACTAACCTAAGCACACAAGTGAATGGAGCTTTAAAGATACTAACGCTTCAGACGATTTACAGATAATGAGATTATATTGCCCATTGCTAAACTGGATCAAATCTACATAGTGTTAACGTACTTATACGGCTTTATTAGAATACTTTTTACATACATATTTTATTATATACTTAATCGTATTTACATGTTAATTAATTCCATTCCAATTTAATTGCGAATAGAACCAAAAACGAACGATATTAGTCATTTCAGTTAACAAATTTATTTGTTTACTTTTATGTTCTACAGATCAGTTTTTTTTTGTTTTTGTTTTGTTTTAATATAAATTTTTATACTTTTATATATACATTTGTGTAGTTTACATACATAACTAAAGTACATATTTATATACATAAGTCACAAATCACAAAAGTGTCATGTTACAAAATATGATAACGATTTTCGCATATAATATTGTATATATAAATAATTTAATTTAATTACTTCTTTTTTGTTTTTTTTTTGTTTATGTAAACATTTAAACTTTATCGGTGATATTGTTTATTGTAGGTGCACTTTGATACTTGAGAAAAATAAAATGATCTGTTCGGTTTTAGAACAGATTTTACTTGCGCGCTGCAGTAGCCGACTTGGTTGGCTTGCTGCTAAGTGTAGGAAAATTCTCCTTAAGATTATGATATTCCCGATGACTAGTAACATCGCTATGCAGTAACACTTGCTTGCAAGTAGCACAAACTTCCAATTTAGGCAGTAATTTACGTTGTTGCGCTGGCATATTGTTCATGTGTTGGCTATGAACCAAATATAGAGCCTAAGCGAGATATAAGGTGGTATTAAAAAAATTGATAAAAAATAGTAAGATAAATTAATTTACCTGTTGCTTGCTAATGTCTGGTAAAAGCGCTAAAAGTTCAGGAAAAGTTTGATTGAATTTATCCTTTAAAGCGGCTTGACAATGTTCATAGTAAGCGTCTGACTTATAAACGCCCTCACGAAATAGTTGCGATACTAGACGAAACTCTTCTAAAGCCTCTTTTGTCTTTAACACATCCTTGAAATTTTCCACAAGTTGCTAAGATGAGAATGAGCCATTATTAACAGTAGGAATAATAATAGTTTACTTATATGTTAGTTTACCTGATTCCTCGTTGTTGCTCCATTTGGTTGTGTATAGGTGTGCGTGGTAACAATGCTGTACTTCTCGCCCAAGGAACTGGTAAAAGTCAAATCATTTGGTGATTTTGCCACTGAGTTCACAGTGACATTTGAAAGAAATCCAGGTGGTGCATTTAAAGTTCCTTGTGTTGCAAAACCTGGTGGTGGACGTGTTGACTGTCCATTGGCATTTTCGCCATTCATTTTAGTAACTAAATCGGCTGGAGTTTGTTTTGGATGTGGACCCACATTTTTAATTTCGTTGTTGTTCTTTTCTTTTGATTTTGTACTCGTTTTTGTGTTAACCTCAACGGTTGGCGGCTTTTTGTCTTTTGGTTTTTTCTCTTTCTCTTTTTTTGGTTGATTATTCTGCATGACGTTGTTATTAACGGACGTTTGTCTATTCACAGTTTTGTTATTGTTTGGCAAAAGGGGCGGTGGTGCTACTTTTGATTTACGATTTTCTAATTCGCGTTGCTTACGTTCGTTTACTGTTTTTGTCCAAGTGTTAGTGGTTGCAACTGGTGGTTTAGAAATGGTACCAAGCAATGTTGGGAAATCTTCTGGTTTTAATTTTGGTACACCAGCAGTATCTCCAGGTTGTTTACGAGTTTTTGTTTCGGGTTGTTCTTTTTGTACCATTTGTATTTTTTGAAATGAATTAGGAAGAGCAACGGAAACGTAATCATCGACTAAAGTGCGATGTTTAGCCGAAACATTTGCCATTGGTACTTGTGCACCAGATGGTAGCATATCCTCATCGAGCGCGCGTGCACCTTTTTTGTTCTTTGTACTTGGCAGTGCTGGGAAATCTAATTGATTCGATTTTTTTGCTCCATTCGTAGCACTTTGTGCCGGACGATTTGAAACATGTATAACCATGCCACTGTTAACATTTACAGACGCTGGCGGTGTACGTGGTACTGCACCAGTATTTGAGGTAGTAGTGTTTCTTAATACTTTCGAAATAGCCGGTGGCTGTTGGTTCGAAGTACGTTCATACCCATTGGCACCTGTTACACAGTTGTTCCAAAACAAAATATAAATTTCAATATTAAATTAATTTAAAAATTAAAACAACATACCTCCACTCCCACCACACAAAGCAGGGAAATTTTCTTTAGTACGTGCCAGACCAGCAATTGCACTGCGATTACGCATAGAAAGTGGTGGAGCACGTGTTAAGGATAAATTCGATACAGCGCCATTACCGCCCAATGATGGAAAATCTTGTTCATTTTGTGCGTCAATCATTATAGGTCGTTGATTTTGTTGCGCAGTGTATGAAGTAGTAGGTTCTTCCATATCATCGATTTCATCTTCATAACTAAAATTTGCATAGTTTAAAATCCAACTAAATCTCTTATGTTAAAGGTTTTAATTTACCCGCGTGAACGCACGCTTGCAATATTTGGATCAGGTTGTCCGGTTCGTCCTCGACGACCCAATGTTATTTCTAGCTGTAAAGTACGTGTTTGCTTAGCTTGCTGCTTATTCAAAGATTTACCATGCTCTTTGGCAATATGTGCCTTAAAATCGATATCAGTACGAAAGGCTATAAACTGCTCACTGGCGCATTTACCTTCCTCACATAGGTAATGGTCTTGCCGAAAATGTTCGGCTAAGGCATCGTAATCCCTAAGAAAAAATAGAATATTACAAAATATAAATATTTTTGCAATTAAATACAATTGTTCCAACTGACCTGTAAAATTCGTTAACACCATCGGCTTCACAAAAATGACAATAGTAATGCTCACGCCGTAAATGTCGAAACAATTCATCGCGATCCAAATAACGTTTATTACAGTATTCACATAGCGGATGACCGCGATGTGAACGATTGTCTGCATCACCTTTGGTACGATGTAAACCCAGTTCCGCTTGTGTATAACAGCGTCGTTCAAATGTGAATATCTTTAAATGATCTGTGCAGAGATCACAGTAATGCAGGTTATGCTCTTTGCGTACATGATTCTTGAGACCCTGAAATGTGCGATAAGGCGGTGTTTGACATCTAGACAATGGTAAAAATAAATATAACAATAGTTTTTATATTGTATATATATATCGTTTACTTAGGACAGCAGTGATCTAGCAGCTCATAGAATGATTGTTGTATTTTATAGTCGTAAAAACCGATTTTGTAACGTTTGTTGTAGTATTCAGAACGATTTTTAGCTTCCAACTCACGGTAAGGCAACTTGTCATGCGTAAATATGACCTACAGATAAGACACATAATTCACCATTTTACAGTTAACCTTGTGTATGGTTCTTACCTTGGATAACACTTGACGACAAATTGGACATTCATTTTGCTGACATAGCACACGCATACGTGTGGAACACTCATAGCAAACTGGATGATCGCACTCTCCAATTGAATATATGTCAACGTTTTTAAAGCAGACCACACATGTATCGTCAGCGCTTTCTACTTTCGGCGGCGGTTTTTCTTCAGCTTTTGCATTGTCATCAGTTGAATTTTTTGCTTTTTTATCTACGTCTACGTTTTTCTCTTCCATAATCACACAATTTGCAATACTTCCAAATATAAATCAACTGAAATTTATTAAAATAATTAATTTTACGTTCGCAGCAAATTTTATCAAAAGTACAAAATTCCTTTTCTCTTCACGAAACGAACGGAACTGAAACACTGCTGTGGAATTAATTTCTGTCGAAACAGGGTCAGCAAATGTTTTGATTTTCAAAAATTGTGAAATTCGTTTAATTTCTTATTGGATTGTATTTACATCAAATTTATCTAATCATATTGTGCGGAACATATTACAAATTTAGTACTAAGCAAAGAATACATGATAGATTTTTTTTAAATTGCTCATTAAGCATGATTCTTATTGGACGTTAAAAAAATGCAGCACAAAGCTAAAAAATTATAATAGATGTATTTGGCACTCGGAGAGTAGTGCGGTAAAAAATAATACTCTTGCTAAAGTCTCTTTCTGATATATTAGTGTCACTGTTCAATTTGTTTAATATTAGGTCTGTTCCACGTTAAGTAAAACTCAAGTAGACTACAAACTGAGAGCGTAACACAAAAAATGTGCCAAATTACGCTCTTTACACAGATTTTCATAGAACAGCTGCCGAGCAAATAAACAATACAAATATATAAAACAAACCAAAACAGCTGATTCACACACCAAGACAAATTTGACTTGAAATAAAATGTACGAGTGAAGTCAGTGTAACATTTTCAAATTTCAACAGAGATGTTACGCTCTCTCAGATGCTCTCATTTATTCGATAAACGATCGAAATAAAAGTTAAAATTCTTAAATCAAGGGAAATTAAACCAAAAGGGAAACTATCGAAATGCGACATATTTAACACATAAAAAAATGTGTATAAACAAAACAAAAAATCAATAAGTCATACAGACAAGAGATAAAAATTTTTTAAAAACTTTGTTTTCTATAAATAAAATATTTAATTGATATATAAAAATATATCAATGACTTTATATATTAAATATATATTTTATATCATTATACAATGTCCTATATTATTAAACAAAAAATATTCAATATATTGGAGAAATTACTTGACTTGATTAATCTTGACTTGGTTAACATAAATTGATTTAGCTGCAGTGAGAACATGGTATTACGCTTGCACGTAAATTAAAGGAAAAAAAAGTTTTGTGTTAATTTTTATTATTTGTAAAAAATTAAAATAAATAGCACACTAAACGCAATATTAATAATGTAGAAAATTGTTGAACATTTATGCTTTTATAATCATAAATTTGTTAATAACTAGTTTAAAAAATTTAATATGCTTTCTACTATATTTTGCTCATGTATTTTTAAGCATTTGCGTATATGTTTAAATTATATATTATCCACAATTTTGTATATTTTGAATATATTTGATTTTTTAATCTGTGAAAGTTTTTGTTTTGTTTGAATTTTTGTTTACAAGCAACTTTTGTCAGAAAACCGCTTTGGTAACATTTTTTCATCAATTTCTTAGATGATTAAACACGTCACAACTAGTCTGTTAGAACAAGAGAGCGGTATTATTGTTTTACGTACAAATCAAAGTCGACTTTAGCAAGAGACTTGTTGTTTTTTTGCTGCATTTCGGAGTAACCGAATGGTGTATTCCGTACTGTTAAATTATAATTTTAAAAATCTCATAATATATATTTATTAACGTAAAAATAAAAACATTATCTTCACCATAGCAAAAAAGCATAGATAGATTTTATAAATTTTTACTTGAATTTATATTGTTTGTGTTT